GTTAAAAAAATGGCCCTGGGGTCCCGGAAAAGCGGGGAGGGACCACCCGGGTTTTTCCCCAGACCGGGGGGGGGGGGGGGGTTTTGTATAGTTCCCTTTTGGGGTATAGGGCCGGTCATTTTTTGGGGCAAATACTGTCCGGGGGTTAAAAATTTTGTTTTTTTTTTTTTTTTTTTTGGCCAAAGGGGCGGCGGCAGTTATCAGTTTTTTTTGCCAAGCAGCAGGGCAAAGAGCCCCCCCCCCCCCCCCCCCCCCGGTGTTTGCCATCGGGGTTGGGTTTTCGTCGTTTGGAAACGACGTTGTAAAACAAGCCGCCCCCCCGGTGTTTGCCATCGGGGTTGGGTTTTCGTCGTTTGGAAACGACGTTGCAAAAAAAGCCGCCCCCCCGGTGTTTGCCATCGGGGTTGGGTTGTCGTCGCTTGGCAACGACGTTGTAAAACACGCCAATTCACTTCGTGAACTCGGCAACCAGGTTACCGTTTTTGTTTTGCCTTTGTTTTTTTTTTTTGCGGTAACCATGAATGGTGGTCGAGTAGATTATGTTGTGCGGGGTCGAGAACCCTCACTCCGCCCAAAGGGGATAATCGCACTACATTGTGTTAAAATGGTCAAGCACCCTCGAGGCAGTTACACAGTGCTTACAACGGTCTCTGGAAGTTGAAGCACCAGAAAATAAATTAAGTCATACGCAGCTGTCATCCGTACGCAAGGAAGTAAGCACAAGATGCCGAACACCCTTGGCAGGATGCAGCGCGCCCTTCATGCGACTCGCCGAATACCTCACGGCGCTTCGCGCTTGGTGATGTGAGAGCCTGGCCCGGTGAGAACCCGGCGTGCTCCGTCCCGGCTTAGTAGGGATGCGAGGTCAATGGTCTAACGACCACGGCATGCACGATTATGAGTACACCCCCCTCCCCCCCCCCTCGCTGTAAAAGCATGAGCGCGTGATTTCACAGGCAGTTCCGCACCTGTTGCCAAAGATTTCACGATGGTGCTTCATTTCATGTCACCCCCTTTTCTCGTGTGTGTATGTCCTTAAAGTCACGCCCCTGTTACCAAATGATTTCACGATGGTCCTTCATTTCATGCCACCCCCTTTGTTCTTGTTTTTTGTTTTGTGTGTGTCCTTGCAGTCACGCGCCTGTTGCCAAGGTCTTACGATGGTGCTTCTTGCCACCCCTTCTTGCGCGTGTGTCAGTCATACTCTGCATCCCTTGCTCGCTCTTGTTATTTTCGGTGTTCTTCGGTGTTCTTGTCCTTCGTTCTCTGCCGTGCGGCAACACCAATCAGTACTGCGGTAACGGCGTCGAAGCCCCGTGCATCATCGGGGAGTACACTCCCGCGCCGGCCAACCCTGCGCTATCAGGAACAGCGGCACCAGTCGGTAGGTCGTTTTTGTCGTTGCGATTGCCATTGCATTGCATTGGCACATTGTTGTTCTGGCCTCTACGTTGGTGTCGCCGCCGTTGCCATATTTTGGCTTGAGATGGCACATTGTTGTTCTGGCCCTCTACGCTGTTGTCGTTCTTGTTTTCCATGTTTTGGCATTGCATTGGCGCGTTGTTATTCTGACCTCAACATGCCCAACTTGGTGGTACGCTTGCCACGACTCCACGGGGTTCCTGTAGAGTTTTCCCCAACCACCGAACCCCCCTCATGATTTCTTCGGGGCTCGTGTTTTTCCTTTCCTGCCTCTGCTGTAGCCACTCCATGGCCTATTTTTTGCCGCGTCAAGGCCGTGTATAAGTCTTTTAGCGTACCAGTACAGCTGCGGCTCCGATATAAGAGGGTGGTGTGACAAAGACCCTCAACCCTGTTTATATCGGAGCCCCCCACCATACCGGAATAAGAGGGTACCCGACTATGCTATACCGGGTCGAGTCTGTGATAACCTATTTCGACCCTCTTATACGGGAGCCCCCTTTTGTAAGGCACCCACTTATATCGGAGACACGACTGCTGAAGCGTTTGTTTGAAGCGGTCGTACAAATACGACGCAAGGTGGTGCGTTGTCGATTCGGACGTGAGCCTCCAGTTCTTGGCTTGCCAACCGACGGATGTACGCTGACGAGACGCGCAGACGAGTGCTTTTTTTGTGTTCCTGGAAGTTGGAGAGACATCGGTACTGACTGCTTTACAATCCCGCGCCTATATCGATCTCAAGTCTTTGCCTTCTTCCCGAATAACTATGTTCAAACAATTAGACATGCGTGTGCATTGGCTTCCTGTGCATTGGCTTCCTTTGCATTGGCTTCCCAGTACGCATTTGATAATGCCGTCTCAGTTTTTTTACCTAACCCCTAACACCTAACACCGAGGCACACATGGTTGTGCGGTTTCAGAACGGCGCAGAACTCACTGACCCCCCTCCCCCCCCCCCCTGTTTACCCTTTTTTTTTCAGTTCCCACCACCTGTAGCAACGGCCTCCCCGGTTTCCAAAACGGCGCGGCATGCTGCAAGGAGTCCTGCGGAGCCTGTGGAGGGGTCGGATGCGGAACCATCCCCGGAACCGGAGGTAATATGTTGTTATATGGAATGGAATGGACGTTTTATTTTTGTTTAATCTTGAGTCTGATGTACGGTAATACGGTGGGATGGAGGGGTCAAATGTGGAACCATCCCCGGAACCGGAGTTGATATGGTGTTATATGGAATGGAATGGACGTTTTATTTTTGTTTAATCTTGAGTCTTATGTACGGTAATACGGTGGGATGGAGGGGTCAAATGTGGAACCATCCCCGGAACCGGAGTTGATATGGTGTTATATGGAATGGAATGGACGTTTTGTTTAGTCTCTTTCCGTGTGTGCAATATAGTGTTGAGTGTAATGGAACGGAAATGCCGTGGGGATTCGACGTGAGCAGTCAATCTTGTGGACAACACACGGGAGGCATACTAAGGATTCAGGTTTGGGATAGATATCCTTTTACGTACTATCGCGGCTGCAACAGTCGTGAGGGATGCTACACCCTGTGATCCGCGCGTTATGTTGAAAGTTGTGAATCGGTGCTGCTGTTGATGTTGGTTATCACGTGGTATTGCCATGCTGCTGCTGCTGTTGTCGTTGGCATCATTGTTGGTGGACAAACGGTCCGAGAGCTGCCATCAAGCTCGCTTGTTGTTGCTGCTGCTACTGCCACTGCTGCTGCTGCTGCCTCTGCTCGTGGTCAACGTTGTTTGTGACACACTTTTTTTTTTTCGTCAATGAACAGG